AGCTTGTTGGGGGCAATTAGTTATGGACTGTAAACTGCTTAGAGAGTGCCGAGTTCATTGATTAGGGGTATAGAAATGTAAATGCTAGTAATGCCATTGCTATAGTATCTTATGTGCTTTCCTGGAATGAAAAGACTCTAAAGTGTTAATCAAGTGAAGGGTCTCCTTGTGCAACCTTCATGTTGTTTGGCTTGCCCAGACTATCACAGTGAGAAAAGATGTCTGCACAGGGAAAGCTAAATAACTAAGTTTCCCCTTAAGAGTGCCAACATTCACTCTTAATGAGTAAATGTGGGTATGGGGCTGGGAAAGCCACATAATATCACCTTGGTATTCTTTCATTTATTAAATCAAATCAAATCAATAAAATAGAGTCCTCCAGCTCTTGGCAATCTCTTCATGTGAACAAAGCATGAAGAGGACCTAATATGTCTTTGAATGGTGCATATTTTCCTCTCTAGGTTTCAAAACACACTGTAGAAACCATCCAGTTTGAGACCGCTTTCACTGCCCTGGCTCAATGCTAGGGAATTCTGGGAATTGTAATTTATTGTGGCACTAGAGCTCTCTAACAGAGAAAGCTAAATGTCTCACAAAACTTCAATTCCCAGAATTCCTTAGCATTGAGCTAGGGCAGTGAAAGCAGTCTCAAACTGGATTATTTGTGCAGTGTGTTTTGGACACCAGTTTTCTAGCTCTGTGGCTCTGTGTATGAAGCTAGAAAGTTAAATTAGCTGAATCCCAAGAACTACACCAACTCTGCCTGTCTCTGGACAGTGAGTTCTGTTGTTGTTGTTGTTGTTGTTGTTAAAATAATCTTTCCAATCTGGTTTTGCCAAAGAATTGTTTCTCCACTCAGTTCTAATTTAGAATTATAATGACGACTTTCAATATACAAATATCATGCAGTTTTTAAAATAATCTACTTTTGATTATTCTGTCATTTATTGCAGGTCAAGGCAGAACACAAGAGTGTTTGTAGCAGATAAATTTAATTTGTAGCAGAATATGTAATATGATCTACTAAGTCAACTATGGCAGCAAAGGGTTTTACTTTATTGTTAGCTCCCAGCAGGTTATAAGGGTGGGATTTAATTTCTCAAACAAATGTTCAACAAGCCTGTGTTCTGAACAAAATTTTTGGAATTCAAATAGTGGATATAAATGTATACAAAGCAGCCTAGGGGAATTAACATGAATTGTACACAGTCTAGTCACTCTATTAACTGTTGTGGTATCTGGGAAAATGCTTCTTCCATAGAAGCTGCCAAGAAGCCATAGTATTCTGGAATCTCTTTGCAACTTTAGCATTGGGAAATGAACCCTCCAGCCTTAGGCAAATGACAGCAGTATTGTGGGAAACAGGAAGTTTCTGTTCTGGTTCTGCCTTTGATGGAATTGTGCAGGGCTGAGAGGCAACTGGAACCTCATTCCCAGCAAATCTTACACATCTGGGAAAGAGCTGAGGGCTACTCAGAAACAGGTTTAGATATGTTGGGTAATCAAAGTTTGCTATTACAGATCTGTTCCTTGCTATTTGATGTGCTTCAATGCAGAGCTTGTGTAGTCTTCTGATTAAGTGCATGAGTTAAGAGAGCCTTTCCCAACTTGGCCCTCCATGTTTATTGGACATGCTGGCTGAAGAAGAGGAGAACTGCAGTCTGGGTGAGTTAAGAAGTGGAAGTTTCTAGTCCAAGTCCCATCTACTATTGATCAGTGTTGTCTGTCTATAAATGTATAGACATCTGAACCAATGAGCCAGTGGGGTGTAGTGGTTTGAGCATTGGACTAGAACTCTGGAAACCAGGGTTCAAGTCCCTGATCGGCTGTCGAAATACACTGGGCAATCTTGGGCAAGTCACACATTATTAGCTCCTGAAATCCCCATGATAGATTTGCCTTAGGGTCACCATAAGTTAGAAACAATTTGAAAGGACACAATAACAATAAACTGTAAGTTTGCAAAGATATACCCATTTACCTGACAACCCCTTAGAAATCAATGCAATTTTCTTTTGAGTAGACATTATAGGATTGCACTGATGATGTTTAATCATCTGAAATCTATGGGCCTTTGCAGACTGCCAGAAATAGTGCACATTAAATTGAGGCACTGCCCTGGCTCAGTGCTAGGGAATCATGGGAATTGTATTTTTTTCTGAGACATTGAGCCTTCTCTGTGAGAGAGCTCTGGTGCCACAATAAATTACAGTTCCTATGATTCCCTAGCACTGAGCCAGGGCAGTACCTCAATTTAATGTGCACTGTTTCTGGCAGTCTGCAAAGGCCTTATGTCTCTTGTCATCAGAAGTAGCAGATTGGGTTCCTACATTCCTTGCGCCAGCACATGATCAAAACCAAATATTTCAGGTTAGTTATCTTGTTGCTTAACTCTGACCTGGCTTTTATTGATTAGCCCCACTTAGAGCAGATCCATTGAATCATTTGAATAGTGAACACAAGGTAAACCCATTAATTCAGTGGATGTACTCTAGACAGGAATAACAAAAGAATTCAGACCAAAATTCTCTTTTTTTTTTCTTTCTTTCAAAGCTCTCTTTCACACCGCTGAATGAGAGCTGCCTAGTTCTCAAGTTCTTCTCAAGGATAGTGCCTGGTGTGCATCACTGTCAGCTGAAGATTTGCAGGTGGCTGAGATTACAGCCCAGTTCAGCTGGGAGCATTAAACCTTTCAGTCAAGCAGAACAGGGATCAGTTAGCCAAGACCATGATGATAGCTTTTATTTTTATTTTGTTTTATTTGGTGGTTTGAAAATTTAAACGTCTCTGCATTGATCCCATGTTACTCCTAATCACTTGAGAGTGAAAGGAGTAGTACATTGTGGTTTATGTACTGGGGTGGTGGTGAGGGAAGCATTGCTTCTGTGCTGCCAGAAATGTATAATACTTTTTTGGATGTTGAAAAGCAGTGGCATGCCCTTTGGCTGAGACTTCACCTATTTCTCAGTATGTGTATGTCAGTGCTGTGCGCGGGATATTTTTGTGCCCTAGTACATGGCATTCACGTTTACCTGCCAAATCCACCTGTTTCACTATTTTCCTTCACTTGAGAACTGTATCAGACAACTTTGCTAGCATGCCATGAATTTAAAATAAAATCCAGGCTGCAAGCCTGACATCACTACTTTTCTGTGTTTTAACATGAGTGTCAAAACATTCCACTTTCTGGCATAACAAGCAATGTTTATTTGTTACTCTCAATGTTCCTTTTTAGAAGGTTGGGGGCCATTTCTTTGCTGGGTTTTGTATACACACAAAAACAGCAGTCTTGCACAAACACACACACATGGCTATGTAGAAACAGTGGCTGGGATTCATGATTGCAGTTACAAATACATAATCCAGAGTTACGCATTGATAATTGACTATGTATTCATTAGAGTAGAGAATATGCAGGGATCATAAAAGTCCCCCCAGCCCTGCTTTACAGGGCAATAGACACCATTGTGTGTGATGGAGGGGGTCTTTTCTCCTGTCATTTGAGACATAGCAGACTGACATTTCCATCCCTATCCCTCCAGCAGTCTTTGGTGCAAGGAGGGATTGCAACAGGGATACTGCTTTTGGATGTCACACCAGAGTTTACTGGAAAGAGAAGAGTGGGAAAATCAGTTGCCTCTTCATCAACAAGAGATCAAACCCCTGTCACTTGCATCTGCTGCAGTCCAGTAACTCAGGATTTGGGGGCTGGGGTGGGGG